GCCGCTTCATCCCACAATACCGTCGAAACAAGATTGGACTAGTAACGGTAAGCATATTGAACAAAATCAACACCCACAACTACTTTGTGTTCTACTCGTGCAAAGAATCTACGCAATAGACCTAGCTCTGATACCACTGTTGGGGAACGTAGCAGAAATTCAAAATTTTTCTACGTGTCACCAAGATCTATCTATGGAGAAACCAGCAACGAGGGGAAGGAGAGTGCATCTACATACCCTTGTAGATTTCTAAGCGGAAGCGTTCAAGTGAACGGGGTTGATGGAGTCGTACTCGTCGTGATTCAAATCACCGGAGATCTTAGTGCCGAACGGACGGCACCTCCGCGTTCAACACACGTACAACCCGGTGACGTCTCCCACGCCTTGATTCAGCAAGGAGAGAGGGAGAGGTTGAGGAAGACTCCATCCAACAGTAGCACAACGGCGTGGTGGTGGAGGAGGAGCGTGGCAATCCAGCAGGGCTTCGCCAAGCACCACGGGAGAGGAGGAGTAGGGAGAGAGGTAGGGCTGCACCAAGAGGGAGAAGTTCTCATGTGTTATGGGCAGCCCCAGGCCTCTATTTATATAGGGGAGAAGGGGGGTTGCGCCCCCTTTAGGGTTTCCCACCCCAAGGGGTGCGGCCAGCCCTAGATGGGACTTGGGGAGGCGGGCAAGAGGGGGAGAGAGGGGAGGCGCCCACTAGGTGGGCCTTAAGGCCCATCTGGACTAGGGTTTGCCCCCTCCCACTCTCCCTTGCGCCTTGGCCCCTTGTGGGGGGCGCACCAGCCCACCTAGGGGCTGGTCCCCTCCCACACTTGGCCCACGCAGCCTTCTGGGGCAGGTGGCCCCACTTGGTGGACCCCCGGGACCCTTCCGGTGGTCCCGGTACATTACCGATATCGCCCGAAACTTTTCCGGTGACCAAAACAGGACTTCCCATATATAAATCTTTACCTCCGGATCATTCCGGAACTCCTCGTGACGTCCGGGATCTCATCCGGGACTCCGAACAACATTCGGTAACCACATACAAACTTCCTTTATAACCCTAGCGTCATCGAACCTTAAGTGTGTAGACCCTACGGGTTCGGGAGACATGTAGACATGACCGAGACGTTCTCCGGTCAATAACCAACAGCGGGATCTGGATACCCATGTTGGCTCCTACATGTTCCATGATGATCTCATCGGATGAACCACGATGTCAAGGACTCAATCGATCCCGTATACAATTCCCTTTGTCTAGCGGTATTTTACTTGCCCGAGATTCGATTGTCGGTATACCGATACCTTGTTCAATCTCGTTACCGGCAAGTCTCTTTACTCGTTCTGTAACACATCATCCCGTGATCAACCCCTTGGTCACATTGTGCACATTATGATGATGTCCTACCGAGTGGGCCCAGAGATACCTCTCCGTTTACACGGAGTGACAAATCCCAGTCTCGATTCGTGCCAACCCAATAGACACTTTCGGAGATACTTGTAGTGCACCTTTATAGCCACCCAGTTACATTGTGACGTTTGGTACACCCAAAGCATTCCTACGGTATCCGGGAGTTGCACAATCTCATGGTCTAAGGAAAAGATACTTGACATTAGAAAAGCTTTAGCATACGAACTACACGATCTCTATGCTATGCTTAGGATTGGGTCTTGTCCATCACATCATTCTCCTAATGATGTGATCCCGTTATCAATGACATCCAATGTCCATGGTCAGGAAACCGTAACCATCTATTGATCAACGAGCTAGTCAACTAGAGGCTTACTAGGGACATGGTGTTGTCTATGTATCCACACATGTATCTGAGTTTCCTATCAATACAATTATAGCATGGATAATAGACGATTATCATGAACAAGGAAATATAATAATAACTAATTTATTATTGCCTCTAGGGCATATTTCCAACACGGCAGCAGGGCGCGGTAGTACCGCTTCTGCGGTACTGTCACCGTACTTTCCCCTACCACCGTTGCTTCCTGTACACTACACCGTAAGCGGTACTACATCCCTACTGCCGCGCTACTTCCGTTGAACTAAAATAGACAACAAAACACTCTAAATAAGTGGTAGTACACGAGATACTGGATCATTGGAAGTACCGCTTACAAGCGGTACTACTGCTGCCCAGAGCGGTACTACCGCTGGTTAGCCCTAGGACAAGTTTCCAGAAAAACAGTGGAACTCGGAAGAAGCGAGATGGAAGGTGGGTGCAAAAGAAGATGTGTATGTGATGATTCCACCCAAACCTTTCCGATCCGGACCCCCCTCTTAATAGTACAATTTTCCTGCGACTCAAGTCCATCGAAAAAGAAACCCAGTAAAAATGATCGTCTTAACTTTATATCTCCGAGAGGCACGAATCATCTTGTGCCATATGATAGATTATCTGAAATGCTCAATGCACAAGATTAATCCGCAAATGCATTGTCATCGATCACCAAAAACACTAAGGGAGAGATATGCCTTAACAAGGGCCCGACTCGTAAACATTTGCGGGAGGCCCGTAAACCGCCCACGATTCCGTTATATATGCCAGCTCCGGGTCGATTTAGGGTTCACATCTGGCTTCCTCCCATTCGCCCATTCCCCTCCGTCGCGTTTTCTCTCCTCCGACGAGAAATCCCGCGAAGTTCAGCCTAGATATCCGGCGCGTATACCCACCTGAACTTGTCGGAGATGTCGTCGGCGGGTGCTGGTTGGGGTGGACAAGGGGGACTTGGCCGAAGCAGCGGGAACAACGGCCGCGGCGGGCATGTCGACGACCCACCCCGCAAGCGCAACCACGACGCGGAGGCTGGGAGCTCCTTCGTCCGTCAGCAGGTGGACGAACGGCGGAGGGAGCCGCTGGGGCGCGACATCGGCGCTCGGGTGTGGACGATCTTCCTTCGTCTCGACCGCATCTTCTCCCCCGCGCTCAATCGCCGCCCGGAGGCAGAGAAGGCGTGGTTCGAGGCCAAGGAGGCAGCCGCCGCCGGAGATGAAGCTGTGGCCGCACGCGTCCCGACGCTCTTCGAGGCGTACAAGCTTGCGCAGGTCCTCTCTAGCACCTTTGTGTACCACTACCTCCGCGGCAACCCGCCCCGCGAGGACGCCAACTATGGGAACGACAGCGGCGACAGCGATGAGAAGTAGACTAGTATGCAACCTGTAGTATGAACTTCCGTATGCTATGTTTAATTTCCGTTTTTAGAGCATCTCCAACGGCCGCGCGAAACGACGCGCGCGCGGTAAACGCAGCCTTTAGCGCGCGCGGGGCGTTTTGCCGCGCTCCAGCGGCGGCGGGAAAATCACGCGCGCGGGAACCGCTTGCGCGCGCACGAAAAAACGCCAGCTCGCGCGCCATATTTTGCGCACCGCTTCCGGCGCGCCTATAAAATGCGGCGCGCGCCACGCGCCTCTCTCGCACCTCCTCCTCTCCTCTTCCTCTCTCTGCCACGCGCCGCTCCAGCGCCCCGCCACCGACGCGCCTCCGCCGCTCCAGCGCCCCGCCACCGACGCGCCTCCGCCGCAGCGCCCCGCCACCGACGCACCTCCGCCGCTCCAGCGCCTCGCCACCGACGCGCCGCCATGCCGCCGCGCCGCCGAGGAGCGTCCGGCTACCGCGGCGTCCGCCTGCGCCCCAACGGCGTCTACACCGCGGAGATACGCTCCGGCGAACTCCGGCTCGGCCTCGGCACGTACGGGACGGCGCGCCAGGCCGCCCGCGCGTACGACGCGGCGGCGTGGCGCCTAGGCCGGCCGCGCGGCCAGATGAACTTTCAAGATGTGTACACGCTCCAGCAAGCTCTCAACCTCGCCCCTCTGCCTCGTCTGAACACAACGGAAGACCGTGCGGAGCACGCCGAGCGGCAACGCCGCCTCCTCGTCGCCCAGGAGGACGAGCGGGTCATGCGGAGTGGCGCCAGCGCCACCCGGAGGACATCGCCTACGAGCAGGCCTACTGGGCAAGGCGCCGCGAGGAGGACACACAAAGGCGCCGCGAGAAGCGGTTGGAAAGGCGTCAGCGGAAGGCGTTGGCGAATGCGCAGTCCGACATCGTTGCAGCAGGTGGGCAGTCGTTCTTCACGTTGGACGATGATCGGTGGCTGGACATCTGGCTAGACACCTCGGACGACACCGCCGAGGATGATAGCGATGGTGATGATGATAGCGACTTAGAGTAGTTTCTATCTAGTTGCGCCGTAGTTTATCTATGCTTTCGAACTATCTATCTAGTTGCACCGATGTAAAATACCTTTGTATCGTTTTTCATTTATGCAATCTATCTAGTTTTTATTTTATCTATGCGTTCGAAAATTAAAAAAATATTTTATGCGCGCTGCTGGAGCGGCGCGCGCGCTGCATTTTAGCGCGGCTGCTGGAGCGGGCGCAGCGCGCGCGCTAACAGGTTTTTTGCGCGCGGCGCTATAGCGCGGCTGTTGAAGATGCTCTTATGTATAAACTTTGGTACGTACTAAATATACGAGCTCGGTATGAAGGGATCTGCTCTGACCAAGCGTCCCGCAAAATTCAAAATACCGTAAACGAGTTTTACGGAATGACCGATTGCATGATCCACCAAAATGCTCATACAGCGAATCATAGGCCACACATGGAAACAGCCCGGCCGGCACACCGGCGCCTATCATCATCTGCCGAAAGAAAAAGATCTTCCGCACCTCGACGGCCTCTCACCGTCTGGCCCCGTCACTGCTGGGTGGGCCCATTCAACCCGCGCTCCGCAAAATCAACCGGCGGGGTCGGGACTCAACCGGCGGCCGCAAAATCAAAAACTTCGTGCGCACCGCATCCCACCCGCGACCGCGGAGGCGGAGCTTTCAAATCCCCCGCCTCTGCTTCTTATTCCCTCCCCATCTCCAAATTTTCGGCGAAATTTTCCATTCCCCCACCCCCACCCGCCCTTCCCTTCCCTTCCCCCGTCGCTCTCAGCCGCGCAGCGCTATCTAGGGTTGGGGATCAATTTGGGGCCTAGGGTTAGGTCAGTTTCCCCATGGCGGCGGCGGCGGCGGCGGCGGAGGGGTCCGGGGCAGAGGGCCGCGGCGAGGCCGGCGGCGGCGGCAGGCGGCAGCAGCAGCAGCAGGGGCTGGCGGAGCGCCGGATGCTCCGGTCCCAGTACCACGCCATGAAGAGCCTCATCAACGGTACGCCCCTCCTGTTCGGGTTCCTTCCGCGGTTCCATTTCGGGGGTTTGGCGCGGTCCAATTCTGAGTTGTTTTCGTGTGCGCGTGTTTGTGTTGCGCAGAGGAGAGGGATGACATGGCGAAGGAGGACTCCGACAAGTTCGCCTCCATCATCACGCAGGTGGAGAGCTTGCACGAGCAAGGTAAGACCATGAATAATCATACTATCCTGCTCTTGCAACCCGCGATTATTTTTCCTCTCTCAGATGGGTGAACTGGGGACTATAGCCATGACATAAAAAGAGCCCCGGCCCTTTTGACCGGGTCTATCAGTCTGTCTAAGTCACCACAATGTACAATCACAAGTTGTAATAATCTCCAAGTGTGAAACGGACCGTGTATTTATTTTCTAATAACGGATTCAGACGGACCTAAACTACTAGAAGCAAACTGCTCTAAAAACTAAATATGTCTAGGGGACATCACTAGAAGTACACCACCGAGCAAATGATATGAACTTGTGTTCATGTAGCTTTGCCGTGACTCATAGAATGTGCGGCATGATCATAAGCTTACTTTCATGTCATGTTCGTAGTTCTACCTTGTTTTATTTTGGAGCTTTCTGAAGTATTCTGTATTTCTGTGTCATACGGTAGAATGGAGCTGACTTAGGAGTATGCATCATAAATAGACTGCAGGTTGTTCTTGCATGTTCATGTGGAACACATTTTGATCTTGTCACACAATGCGTGGCTGTTTGTCTGCAAGATTGCATTTCCAGACAAACGTGGGCGAGTATTGCCGTGCCTTGAGCTCACTGTGGCATGTCAAAATGTTTGCTAAATGGGTGTTGATGAGGGATTTTGGATTTTTTGAAAGGTTAGACTGAGGGCGTGTTCGGTAGCCCTCCAACTTCTCAACTCCTCAACTCCAGATGAGGAGCCCAGCCAAACGGTCCAAAACCTGGCTATGGGAGTGAGAAGCTGGCTATGGGCGTAGTGTAAAATCGGCGGAGTCGTGGAGTTGGATTAATCGAGCTCCCAGAAATCGACGGAGCTAGAGTTTGACTGAAATTACCAGCGATTGCCACCGCCAAGTGAACATCGGGCGTACCAATTCGAGCTCATCCCGCACGACCGCTCTATCCCCACGTTCTCCTCCTTCTCTTGTTCCTCACACCAACCCAAGGGAGCCAGCGAGGAGGCTGCCGAGCCCATTGACCATACAAGTCCGACCGCTGCCCTCCCCGCTCGCTGCCTGCTGTCCCTATTCTCCTCCGCCGCTGCCGTTCCAATCCGCTAGGAGCAGCGTGGGAGCCACGGCCGCTGCTCCCATCCCCGACTCCTGACGACCTCGATGTCCGCTCGTGGGCGTCTGATGTTCTTTGTTGACCAGGAGATGGGGAGTTAGATGGGCTATGTGTGGGCCAGATTCGTTGTTTGTGGGCTTCCGGCCTGGCGGATCGATTTTAGCAAGAAGCTAGCGCACCAAACAGAATGCTCGCTCCGGGAGTTAACGAGAGAAGCTGGCTGCTGGCTACCGGCGACGGAGTTGAGGATTTAGCAGCCGTGGTGGACTACTGAACACGCCTTGAATCCAAAGGATTTCTATAGCTAAAATCCAAATCCCCCTCTCCTACTGGAACAAGCCCTTACGTAAAAGAAAATGTCTACTATTTTCTATGTTTTACTGGTTGGAGCTTTGAAATATTTATGCTATATAAAAAACCCAATTTGAGATGTCCTTCCACAATGCAGTGCAGAGACCCAGGGAGCAAGTAGCGGATGCAGAGGCTCTGCTGGACATCACAAGCACGTTGGTAAAATCCGTGAGGTCCCAGTCAAGTGAAGGAATCACACCTTCTGATTTCGTAACAGCATTGCTGAAGAAATTTGGGCAGCAAGCAACCCTTGATTCCGAGCCTGTCTCGTTGCGCTGGGCTGATGTTGGGCTTTCTGCTTCACATGTCTTCAGGGCTGCGCCTGGATGCTGCACCATGTAATTAAGCTCCTTTCTTCTTATTAGTTCTCAACATTTTTTTGCAGTGCCTACTTGGTATATGACTTAAACCATGCATGCTCTTAATCCTTGCAGGCTTGGACCCATGGATACAGAAGTAAAGCAGCGTAAGCTTTCAGTTGTTAGTAGAAAAAGAAGTGCCAGGCCAACTGAAAATACTTGTCCAGAAGAGGTATTCACATGCTTTTGTCTAGCATAATTAATAAAGCACTAGAGATTAATAACATCCATTTGTACACGTCTCCCATGATTTGTTTTGCCATCTGTTTGCCTTCTGTTATTGATGGGCGACATAGTTTGAACAATCTTTGGTTACTGTTGTGTAAATCTTAATTAATTCTATGCTTAAAGTTAGAACCCTGATAAGTGCCACACGTGTGGCACGAAGCAATTCCGCCCTGACGTTTTTTGCTGGCAAGTTTAGTTACTCGAGGATGTCAACTTTAATTGTGAAGCATGGCAACTTTCTGTTTGGATGGCAAGTTTCAGTCTTTTGGGTTTTTTTTTTCTTTTTCGGTATGGCAATTTTAGTTATAAAAAACGTCAGGGCGGTGTTACTTTGTGCCACACGTGTGGCACTTATCATCTGGGTAAATTATCAATCACCTTCTGTTTTTTTTGAAAGACACATATTAGGCAGTACCATTCATATGTTTGCTATCTTCTGTAGCCACTATTGAGTTTCTGGGTTGCTAGCTAGACTTCTTTCCCTGCCATAGCATTATTATTTTTGTCAGAAATGTATGATCACCTCCAATAGTGGATTCATATCATCTTCTTAATGTGCAGCTTGCCGATTCTTCGGAGGGAGCAAAGACAGACACTGACCGGAATGTGACTGTTGTATTTGATATCCTGAGGAAAAATAAGCGTGCGAGGCTGGAGACCCTTGTTTTGAACAGACAATCATTTGCCCAAACGGTTGAGAATGTTTTTGCACTGTCTTTCCTAGTTAAAGATGGCAGGGTGGCAATAAACATTGATGACAATGGGCACCATATAGTCTGTAAGAATTTTCTCCTATGGTTTCATTTGTGCTTTAATAGTACCACAGAGATGCTCGTGTATCTTCCATAATTCTGTTGGCCTTGCGCAGATCCACGAAATGCGCCTGCTGCTAGTGCCATAGCGTCAGGAGAAGTGTCCTACAGCCATTTTGTTTTCAGATATGATTACAGAGATTGGAAGGTACTGTTTCTGATCATAGAGCTCTCTTACGGTATTTCAATATTTGACCTGGATGGTCAACCTTATTGTTTGTAGTGCATTCATGCAAGAGCAGTAAAACCTGTATTGACTTCTGTTAATAGAAATTGATAAATAGAAACAGCTTTCTATTTGATTTGAGTACCACTATGACTGCATGGTGCTGCTGCTTTTGTAATGGTCCTTAGGTTAAATCATAGGGTAGATCAGATTAGGCTTAAGAAGGAAGAGCAAGGTAACAGGGTTAGAGGAGGCAGCAGGAGATAAGAACTACCATATGGTTGGTTGATCATAGGTGAGTGCACATCCTCTCTTATAGAAGGATGGATAACATGGTCCATACGGATCTAATCCTAACTTTCCAAACTAATAAGGTTGTATACCTTGTTTAGTGACTAGGGCTGTCTGCCCCCTGACTAGATGGGCCATTTATGCAGTTTATTGTCTTGGACCCATCAGCTTAGCATCCTTTATTTAGTTTGCAACAGAAATCATCTTGACCCTCCTAACTTAGGAAGAAATTTTATTGACTCTGTTTGCATCTTCCTCTGAAATGGCTCCTATATTTGCTAAACGAGTGACTCATTTTCTCTCCCTAGTCCCCCTTTGTGGGCAAGATAAAAGCACACAGTATCATAATTCATCAGATGCTGTAGGAGATTTTAATTTCTCAAATAATCTGATCTTTCCTACCTGTTTTTAGCTTATGAAAGAAGTCGTCCCTGAAGGGCAAGAACTGATGCCGCACAGGACGGCGCACAGCCTCTCTGCTGAAGAGCGAGAACAGATGGAGCCATGTGCGCAACGAACACCGATAAGGAAACTTTGCCGGAACCGAGGTTTGGTTCTTCAGGAGCAGATGGTTGTTGCAGAGACACCCGAGGAGGACAGAAGCTCCAAACGCAAGCGTCTATTCATAGATCAGGAGTGATCATGCCTGCTTGAAATGCCGTGTGCCGTGGTCTACGCTGTGTCTGTATGTAGGAGGTATTTGCCTGATTAACGTACCCATTGTAGAACAAGGTGTGCCATAGCACCGCTTGTGCTAGTTCTTACCTTGAGACGAGATTCCTCCGGGAGAGGAAAGAGGGCAATAGAAATGAAGCTCAATAGGAATGCTACTGTAGTTCTTTAGATCAGTCGGCTTAAATAATGTTCTTGGATCAGACTTGTATAATGTTGCTCACGGTAATATGCTTGTGCTGATAGAGAAAAAGACAATGTTTGCTTCTAGCTGAACCAAAGTTCCTATTCAGCATTTGTGAGTAGTCTGCTTATGGTTTGATGATTGTATCGGTTTTTGCATGATTTTCCCTTAACTAATTGGGCAATTTTCTTCTTAATTATCAATTGAGGAGGCAAAAGCTGCCTCCGTTTCAAAAAATATATATTTCTATTCATAGTCTATAATTTTGACAACAAGTGGGTTTCTTCCACTCCATTTTTAGTTTTGCCTTTAGATCATTCCTCCACTGAACTGGAAAACCATCGGGCTACGGCATGGATCGACAAGAAATTTATCGGTCTGTTTACCGATAGGAGATGCAGAGCTTTTTTTTTTGACGGGATGCAGAGCTTCTGTTTATGCATTTCCGAGAACGAAAGTAGTATGCAGACGATACTCACTAGCCGATCATCACAAACACCATGAGGAAGAGAAACGTTTTGATCTTGAGACCCTCAAGACGCGTCTGGCCTGCGCAGCTCGTCGTCGCCATGGGCGAAGTGGCACCTGCCGGCGAAGGCGCACGACCCGCCGGCAACGAAGCTCACGCACAGCCTGGTCTTGAAGCTGCTCCCGGGTCCCATGGGCTTGCCGAGCTCGCCGTCGCCGTGCGCGAAGTGGCACCTCTCCCCCCACTTGCACCCCTCCGGCGCGCCGTGGTTCTTGCAGAGCCGAGTCTTGACGGTGGCTGGTGCCGGGTCGCCGCCTAGGTCCAGCTTGCTCATCTTCTTGGCAACGGCCTGGTCGGGTTCCTGGTGGCCGCTGGGAACGCGATGGAGGAAACGGCAGTCCTCGCCGAAGGGGCAGTCGCCGGCGCTGCGCAGTTGGCGAGAAAAACAAGATCCACCGCGAGGAATTTACACGAGAGAAAATTGATTATACAGCTGCTGCAGCGAAATCCTTGTTTGTAGATATGAAATTTTTGTTCACTGGTTTGTTAGCGCCACGACATTCTTTTTTTGAGAAAAATGTGCTTGCGGAATGCCAACCTGAAAAACCTGGTGCAGATCTTGTCTATCTTCTTCGATTTGCATCCTGCACGCGTTCGAGGTGGCTCCGACCCTGTTACATGAGAGGAATGTTTGAATCGCATAATGCAAAAATGTAAAAAAAAAAGCGCAGTTCCATGAACCACCAATCAGTCGTGCTGTTCCATGAAAAACAAACCTGTCAAACTATTTTCTTTGCAAAAAAAAACACAATTTGAGTGAGGCGGCCATCTAATGATGTACTCATGTAGTAGTACAAGTCTAAAGTTTTTTTTTTTTCCCGAAACCGATACAAGTCTGAAGTTACAACATGGCCAAAATTACAACACAACACTGCCGGGAGGAGAAGGGACACCGGTCGTACTCACCACCCCGCGGTTCCGAGTCCCACATGAGCGATGCCGCTTCGACCTCCCTCTTGCATGCGTGGATGCCAGCGGGCAGCTTGTCGCGGCAGGCCTCACGAACAGAGAGCAGGGACTCCTTGGAGTAGGCGATCCTCCTCTCCTCCACCCTGCGTACGTTAACTAGCAAGACCGCGTCACGAACCACGCATCAAAGACGCGCGCACATGCTGCTACTCTGCACACATCGGCGCGTACAGAACTGGGTAGTACAGTACCTGGGAGGAGTATCGGGGTCAGGGGTGGAGCTCGTCTCGACGGCGGACGGCGGACGGCGGCGGCGGAAGGAGCGCAGCTTGTGTGAGCAACACTGCTAAGATCCACAGCTTTATTACGGCGATCCCGAACCGGCCTATATATGCACGCGTCATGGACTCGTGGCCCCTGCGGCAACAATAAGTAGTAGTAAATAAATAATAAATGACCGGAACACGTGAGGAACACGGGAGGCCAGCAGACGGCGGCCGGCGCCCTCCCAGGGAGCGTTACGTTACGTTTACCGTGCGTGCGTGCGCTGGCTCATCGATGGGTGCGTGCCGTGCTCTGCTCACCTCGGGTGCATGTCCCTTCTGCGCTTGTACTGTACGAGTAACATCAGCGACACGGGCTACGTTCCATGAGGGAAAACGCTGAGGTCTAGGAGGAAGAATGAAACTTCGGAACTACCGTACGTGTTGCCGTTTGATAGAGGAGACCCGCGTGATGGCTTCCACGGTGTTGTCTAGACCCTAGAAGACCATGATTCTAACTAATAAAATATAAGTTATACATGCAAAAAGTAATATCATTGTAAACTATATAAATACGAATCCAATAATATAATTTCTTGTGACATGTATTAACATTTTGCTACTCAAATATGTGAACAAAGTTTGACCCAAAATACGTTGCGGACTAATAAACCAAGACAAAGATAGTTGTAGGCTAATAGCTGGCACTTTTGCTTAGAGATGCTAATCGTTCGGAATTAATTAGTAGGTCAATTAGCACATGCTAATCAATGAATAGTCATTAGCAAAGGGGGTGTGTCCAACCCCATGTCTCTTCTCTATCTATTGTCAACATACGCCTGTTCGGGAGGGATGCCTCAGGCACCTCTTCTTCTCACCTCTCCCTTCTCGAAATAGGCTTTCGTCCCGCTATATAGATATAGCAACCACACGATACAACTGATAGTCCGATGCTGGGGCAGACAACACAAGCAAGTCCAAAAGAAATAACAGAGAAATAAAAAGAAACTAATGACAACAGAGTCGGGTCGACAAAAACGATGGTGACCCGCAACCGCTGCGCCCGCCGGAGAATTTCCACCACGCTCCTAGCACTTCGGACCGCCGCACACCAAGCAACACCTTCAGGAAGGAACGCGACGATGCCGACGCTGTTGCCCGGACTGGTCCTAGGGTTTCCCCAGGTACACAGAGGGGCGTGTGGAAGAGGTAAGCCCGGCGCCCTTCAGGAAGGACCGGTGGCGCCCGCGGGCGTCACCGCGTCGGTGCCGGCCAAGCCGACAGGGATTTCTCCCATCCGCCACACATCCACAGCCCCGGTCGCTTCGTCGCACTCCACCAATCTTGCCGCCCACCAACATGCGCCACCACGGTCTTTAGATCACCACCGCCGTCTCACCATGGAAAGAGAAGCGAGACCGACAGATCTGAGAGGGGACAGCCGGGAACAAGGAGCGGCAAAAATCAGCAGCCACGCGGGAGGGGACAACCTCCACCGTCCTTGGCGGTCACCGGCCGGACGCAGCAATAGGAGCACAACAGGCCCACGGCCCGGCCGAGCCAAAAAGGACTCGTGAAGCTCCCGTCACCACGCTGCAGTTAGCGCGCCACCGTCTTCGCAACCCCCCGCATGAGCCGCACCTCCGTCCGTCGAAGCCGTCACACACGACCAAGCGGCGAAGCGAAACCTACGAGGCCGAGAGGAGACAACCGGGAACGATGAGCGGCAAAATCGGCAGCCACACGGGAAGGGACAACCTCCACGGCCCATGGCGGTCACCGGCCGGACGCAGCAAGGAGAGCACACCTGGCCCACGGCCCGGCCGAGCCAGATAGGGCTCGTGAAGCTCCCATCGCCCCGTTGCAGTGCGCGTGCCTCCGTCTCCGCAACCCCCCGCACGAGCCGCTCCTCCGTCTGTCGATGCCGCCGGCCAGGCCCGCCCAAACCCAGATGGGGCCCAAAAGGGCCCAGATCTGGGCCAGGAGGGCGTCGCCGCCTGTCGCCGCGCCAACCCACAGCCAAGTGGCTGTGCCTCCGCCTCCTCACCATCCGGCGCAGCGTCGCCGCCGGAACCACCGTTGCCCGAGGAACACCACCGCACACCCGCGATGGGGAAGGAAGACCACCCGCAGCACCACTGGAGGACCAAAGCCGGGCCCCCGCCACCACCACGGGGCACAGCCGCCGCGGGCCAAGCCCCCATCCACCGACGCAGCACCGCAGCGCGCCGCCGGCCGGAGAAGGAGCCGCCTCGCCGCCGGACCCTGTGCACGCCCGACGCCACCGCCCAGGG